AACGATAAAATTTGTACAAATGAACGAACATAGCACATAATGGATGGATGAACAACAAAATGTATTGAAAACATTCACAATTCCTCAAGAATTGCTCGTAAATTTTATCAATTGTCATTTTACATTTATGAATTCATTTGTCACTTAACCTTCAGCATCGAAACGTTCTGAACTATTGAGATTAATTCTAAAGAAACGTGACGAATATTGCACACTTCAAAAAACACCACTGAAACTACTAATAAACGAAAAGCGTTTACACTAATCACATTAAGTTATGCTTAATAGAATCGCAGACAACACTGTCGATCGAGCATAAAACTGCAAAAGGAACAGGTAAAGGATTCGCTATAAAAAAAAATCTCCTCTGTTACCGTGTTACGCGTCAACTTGAAATGTACCAATGGTTTTTTAACGAGAATATTATAAACAAAGAAAAACTGAGACAAATTGTAAGGAGATCGCAATTCGAATGGTTTTTCTTCTGACAATTAATTAATAGTAAAGAAATTATCAATCGCATGAGCGTATTGTATGATAATGGCATTCAATGAACGACATTCAGATATTGCAATAAACACACAAAAAACAAAATCATAATAACCACATTAACAGTAACGATAACACACTAATAATAATGATAACAATATCAATATTAATATCAGCATGAAGAATGATAATAATAACAACAATAATAAATTATAAAAGGGAATAATGAGGCAACATTCATTCATAAAGTATTGAAATAAGGGAATAATAAGCATTAACTTATTCCTGAAAGTACCTCGAAAAATCAGCAATATGACTTTCGTTCTTTTCCTTCTAAAAGACTTGAAACAATTTCCTTGCAACATTTGTAATACGAACAACTCATTTCAATAACTTTCTGAAGAAATTGATCAGCACTCTCAACAAACGTCAATTCGAATGTTAATCGCGTTCTATCCAACTAAATGAAGATTGAATTATAACGAAATCTGATAACGAATCGTACTATTAAATGCAAAATGAAAGTGCCACATAATGTAACCAAACAACAACTCCAATCATTTTTTTTTGCTACATTTCAGAGTTGAATTGCTCAAAAAGTGGTTCAATCAGTGGAATCTTATACTCGAACTCATGTGAAGTCAACTCGTTTCGTGTCAACATGGTATACGACAGCAAAAATTTGCAATCAAATCAGCTGGTTCCAGTGGTCACCCACCCTTCGAACATACACACACAAGTATGAACGATGTAAATAGATGCATTTTTTGGCCTTAATTGGGAGAACTGTTCAATAAATGGTGATAATAATCAGAGTGTAATATCGCCGTGGATTACATTTGCACTAGTAAGACTTAGACTCGTGATGAGCAACCATGCGCGTTTGTTTAGTAATATGGCGGCGATATTATGCTCTATATATCGTCACTTAAGTTCGATTGATTGCATGCAGAATAAGGCTTGAACTGGTGAAGATCGGACTCGACTCGACTCGAAACGAAATGATGTGCTCATTGTTGCTGCTGTTGCTGTTGTTGTTGTTGTTGTTGAGCGGATTGTCCACTCTGAGTGTTCTGCTTCTTTCTGCGACAATACTTTCGATGAGTGGCCCAATGGCTCTGCTGACATTCCACGCTACAATACGCTGTATTCCAACAGCAGTGATAGATCGCTTCCGCTTCACACTGCCAACACCTTTAAATGTTCATTATTGATAACATCGCTTCGATATCATTAACTAAATATATCGACTGTGTAATCGCCAAAAACTTAATCCGACAACCTTCAGCTAGGCATCTCTTAGGCATCTTAGGCTTCAGCTAGATCTGCTTAATCAACATCCCGGAGTAAGCTTTCACTCAATTCACACAAAGAATTATTTCATTCGACAATATTTCAAACGGTTTAAGTTCTTCAAAAAATTATGTTCGAAAAGTTGAACTGCGTGAATGAGTTATCTTCAATCAAAATCATTAATTATTCTATCTGAAAACGTAAGAAGCCATGACTGATCAGCACCAATCTAACAATAAGTATATATTCCTAATCCAGCAATAATGCCATCATTACGCCTGCATATGGATTTCAGTTTTGACAGTTCAGTTGAACCAACTTTAGAAATTATAAAAACAAGTAAATGAGAAATTTTTACCATTGCTTCTTTTTACAATTCGATATTTCCTTCCTGTGCTTTTCGGACAACTTCGCTAATTCAGCCTTCAGCGATTCACGATATTTTTGCTCCAGTTCTGCCCTATAACAACCACTCTTTGCTCATTGCGGTAATACGTAATCTATGATTGATAATCAACTGTAGCATGAGTAGACTACTACAGAGGAGCATTTATGCAATGCACATCAAACTAAATAACAACTTGAGTAAAATAATTCTTGAAATGAACTCGAAAACTAGAAATCGCATGACCTTTAAAAGAAATCAATGATGTGAAACATATGCCGATGAAAATAAATTAATAAACTGAAAAAGGTAATAGGAAAACCTTGTTGTGTCAAGTTCATCCTTGAACTGCGTCAATAATTCTGTACGAATTTTTTGTTGATCTGAGAGAAATTCTTGATGTAGCTGCAAGAAAAATTTTTCAAAAAATTTTCTCATTTTTAGAATCCCACAAACGTTTCTTACTTTCTTTCTTTCTTACTTCACAACAACACAAGAGTTTAAGATTGAGATAGATTTATACCTGCGTTTATAGTTTACATCATTTTGAAAGAGTCTTCTAATAAGAAAATTAGCAAAAACAAAGACTGTGTGGGGTGAAATGAAGTCGAAATATGAGAGAGTGAAAGCAACCCTTTCGGTCATTTCCACCAGTAATTTTTCTCGACTCTGTTGGTAGTCGGTAAGCCAGTGTCTCTGCAAATCCATAATCATACGCTTCATGCGATCATCCAGCACCCAGTGTTCATCGTGGATATCGCCCTCACCTTCTACCACCAACATGCCCTCATCCACCGACTGATGATGCCCACCATCTTTGTCCACCACGTCCTTCACATCGTTCATCATCTTCGGTGATTTGAGCTGAATTCTTATTCGCTTCCTACCTTGTCATTACAATTATCGCACAAATACTTGATCAATTTTACACGAAAAACAAATACGGTTACCGGTTCGATTAAATTGATGCACAACACTGCACTGATCGAAAATGTAAAATCCGGTTAATTATGACAATAAATTGAAGTCGAAAATTTCAGTGTTCTTCTGCAGGCACTATGTTGAATTAAAATCCTCGAAAGTGCTAAAAGTCTCCGGAGTATCTAATCAGAACATCAACCAAAAACTCTTATGAAGCATTCTATCGATCCTTCCACACACTTTTTCATAACACTAACAATAACCGTGGATCAATTCGGTTACGATTTACAACAGATTTACAACGAAAACCGTGAAAGTGATAAACAATAAAAGAGTCGAACCGACAAACTTATTCAAAAATATGACTTCCGTTCGAATTCGAATGCAAACGATCGATATCATTAATTATTATTTGTAAAACAGACGCACATCAACAACATTCATCGTGACTACGATCGATAACGGTAGTTGTGTGCACGTTCTGAACGCAACTACTGTATAGTTGTCATACGGTAACCGTATTCCTCAACTAATGAAATCATTTTGGACTCTGAAAATTTTGCTCTTTCACTGAATCTTCAGAATTTTTCATCCGCAACGATGCCCTTATGCCTTCACCGTGAACTTTCAACTCATTTTCGCTGATTGGAGGTGAAATCTAACGGGAGATCTTCCGTCTTTGTAATGTGAGGTGCTGAGAACATAAATCTATCGAGTAGCACATTCGGTGCTTAGGCTGACTGTTCGCCAAGTCTGAACTGGGTGATAGATCAATCGCCAACTCACTCAACTCACATTTTTATTCAATAGGTATGAAAAAGTGAATTTCTTACCCGTTTAGTGGGAATATATCCGGGAAAGTTATACATCATTCTGTAGCACAGATTTTGGAGAATAGAACATGATATAAATCATAGGCAACAATAATTACGCCCGAGAATATTCATGAAATTTAGTGACACTTGCATATTATATAAGGTGCGATTACGGTTTGATTACGGTATGCTCGGAAAATCGAAGATAAAGATTTTGAAGTGCATTTAAAAAGCCTTATAAGGAACCGTCGTGAACTATTTTTAGAGATCACTTCGGCTTGATGATATGTGAGTGAACAAATTATTGTGTGTTAATCACTATTGAATTGTGCAAACTGATCTGCAATGATATTCATCGATTGATAATTGCTGCTTTTGATCATTGTAGATGATATTAACTAACTATTTAGTTGATATCATCTGCAAGGACATCAACTAAATAACTACGTTGTCTTTGTTTCATTATGTTGATTAGTTGTAATTTGCGGTAGAGTTTGGTTTAGGATAATTTCTTCTTTAACGTAGGGTCGCTGCTACGAGAACTGTGGATAAGCCTCAACCCCGCGGCTAAGACTTCAACGTAAGCTCTTGGGGTGAACCTCAGTCCCTTGGTAAGTCTCGGGTTAAGCCGTGGGGTGAGCTTTAGCTGGAGATAGCAGAAACGTTTTGTTTATGAGTCATTTCGCTGTGGTGAAGAACAAGTTTAATTATTTATTCAATTTTTATATCTCAATAGAAATGCAAAACTTTGTCTATACCTTTTCTGTTACATATTATTCTCCTGCAGCATTTCTTTTACATATTATTCTCGGGATGGTTCCCGTTAAATAGGTAAGAAATTCAAGTTTCTTAACACCCATCGATGACGGATGCCACTTCCGTGACTCGAGAATGTCATCCTGTTTTACTTGGCGAAGTGTCAGCATACAGCATTTTTTGCCCACGGCTATTGGTAATACATGGATTTTTTTAAGCTCATTAGCCGTTTGCGCTTTGGTCGTTTGAATCGATCGGGAGCCTGGTTTCGAGAGATATAGCCGGGTTTTTTGTGTACTTCATAGTCGAGATTCCCCTTCAGCTTTCATTTCTTCAAAAGAACAATCACGACTCACTAAAAGTGTATGCCTTCATCCCTGTAATGTTTAGCTAAAGGAAAGCCGAAATTATCCGAAAAGTCAGATTAGATTCTTTGAAAAATCGGTGAATACATCGTAGCAACGTCGAGATGTTTTCGTATCATTTCACCGCAAATTTTTGACAGTGTAAATGGATCGATCATTTCTTCAGAATGTCGCAGTTTTCAAGACTGACTCGTGTTGCTGTGCAGCGATCTACAGCAATAATGTCACGACGATCTACAGCAGTTGCACATAGTCATGAGGCCAGTTTGTTGTTTCGCATATCATTTATTTTCTCAGAAATCCATCATTTTGTCTTGAAAAAGCACTGCAGTCATTCATTCTCAACGATCATATTTACCGAATCGTCGTCATTCAATTATCATATTGATTCCATTTCATATGTCATCGAAATCAATTTCAAGATTTTCAGGAGGTGAATCCAGGACCACCAGTAACTTTGGACTATATGCCAGTACCATTCAAACCTTACAAAACAGTTTACGGCGAACTACAATCCAAATTCAACAGATATCTATTCATATCTGTTGCCCTATTGGCTACTTCCCTCTCTTTGGTAGGCTGGTATTTCAGTTTGTTAGTTCAGCTGATATCCTTTCCACAACTTTCCACCTGTTACAATTTTCTAGTCTGGTTCCAGTCTTCAGTATTTCTAAAATTTCCTTTTCCTTATTTATAATTTCCTCTAGGCGCATCATAGGCATAAGGCTTGATGATCACGTCCTTTTCAAAACCAACTTTTTAAAAAGAGCTGTCCGTTTCAATGTATCCGTTCGAAGCGAGATATTTGAATGGTAATTTATCAGTTCAGTCTTCAACAAGAAATTTACAGGCATTCTATGAGGATCTATTCGCAGTCGACGCAATTCGTCCACCTATGAGCTACCGTATGCGAAACAGCTAGTAGAAGAAGATGTAACGTGCTCTTGTCAACATATATTTCCTTCGAGTAGACTTTTCTGAAGTAATTTTTCCATTCATTAATACCTCAGTGCTATACAGTATTTTTCTTCTGTCTCTAGATTATTGTATCTGTAGAATGATACAGCTGCTTTTTATTCGTCTGTCGATTATTCACTATCGTTTGAATAAATCTGATGAACACCTTTGCCCAAACATCAACAATACTTGTTCATCTCAGAACCATTATAATAGCAACCCTTTGAATTCACTATGACGACTGCCATAATGTGGAGAGTATCAAAACAAACTGAGAACATTGTGAAATAAGTCATANATAGAAAGCGTTATGAGGGTGGTATCATGTTATCACAAAACAACGAAACTTCATCGAAAGATGGCATTTTACAAATATGGATTGGAATAGAATGAGAGCACTTACAACTGGAAAACATTACATGCGTTCTAATGTGATCTGTTATCGTTACGATCACAAATTAATTCTGAAGTGTCACAAAAACTCGGATGCATTTTTCGGAATTAATCTGCAAAGAGGTTCTCTCGGGCCTCATATTCACATTAAACAGACAGCTTCAATGGAGATAGACATGGTGTGTCTCTAACAGAGAATAGTACATTTTTGGAAACTATCAGCAAGGACGATGATCCTTATTGGACAACTGCATTAAATGTTAACTTATATGTTTTTAACTATGAGGTGCATTTCGGCTGAATTCTATGCTATAATTGAGCAGAAATTCCTCTCATAAAAGACCAGGCAGCCGTGGTGGTGATTGTCTAAATTACAACTAACGAACAAAGAGATATAAGCAGAAACAAATGGGTGAATCGTCTGAAAGTGGGCAAGAATTCGGGGAATGATTTGCGAAGATGTTCGGGTAAGGATCAGGTAGTTGAATAGGGGAACGACATTTTGTGAAGCAAATGAAAGAACAATGTTCAATGAAATAATGTCATTAAAGGATGATATGAAACTGATTTAAGGTACTGAAGAAAGCGCAAATGACACGCACAGAAACAGTCTAATGTCGTAGGTGCGAGTAGGCGAACAACTTTAACACTTTATCATTAGGTGTTTGAGTGCAGCCATCCGCTTCAAAATTGCGCACTCGTTTAGACGAACGCAATCCACGACGCAACGATAAGGCATTTCGTTTAGCTCTTGGCGGCGGCATAATTACTCTGGTCAGCTTCTTTGAAGGTCCATCAAAGATGTCGATGTAATTTGGATGTATACGATCGATCGGAACCACCGGAACTGCAGCCGTTGTAGGAGCAAGAGGAGGGGGTTGAGTTGCGAAAGTGTTTGGTTCGAACTTATATTCCCATTTGTAGCAGATTATTTCAACTCTATGGCTATACGCGCCGCGGTCCATTATGTAACCGAAACCATAAGTCAATCTCGTCCGACACGTGCGAGGCCAATCACACTGAAATATGAGCCAAAAAAAGTACATACAATTTGACACCTTTATCTGACTGGATCGTGCAAAATCAGATTCAATCGCAAGTGAGTGAACAGCACTATTTGTTGTTGTTTATGAACTATTAAATTCCGATGAATAATTCTCGTCTCCTTTCATCTACTACTGGCGGTATTTTTGTCCAGCAACAGCAGCAAACGCTATTTTAGATCTGTACTGTTTCTAGGCACACTATAGAGTAATGATGTGTAGCATAAACTCAATGAAGACTATACAGAGAGTTGAACGAAAAACGACGCCTAGCTTCATCGTAAACCTGAGCCTAAACTTCGGGCTCAATAAGCGGCCATTGTTCGGACATAACTGAAGTATCTAAGTTCTAATGGATCAGCATTATTCAGTCGTCCGCATGCTTGAAAACAGTAGTGCGTTTCGAGAAAGTAACTGCCACAGTAAACAAACGGTGTTGTTGTTGGTGAGTTTGCAAACTTCATATTCAGAGATTTTTGCTTGATTACTTTCCTATTCAATGCGGAAGTAAGTAGTGTGCTTAGTGCTATGCAAACAATACTTACGGGTTCATTTTTGCTAGGATGTTCGCATCTAACCGTCCATTCGTCTTTGGTGAGCTTCCACTTGAGGTCCTGTTTATTGTTAAGTGGGTGACGGCTAAGCATCTCCTCCCAATACTGGAGGCCATTTCTGCACAATTGAACCTTGTGTTTGTACTTACTCTCATCGAGCTTCATAATAGCGAGGTCGTTTTTGACTTGGATGGGTAGATTGGCACATTCGGATAATGCATGAGTCAAGTACTGAAATTAGATCGTTTCAACTGATACTGTCATGATCGTTTTTTGGAATACATCATCACAAAAACCAAACTAACAGGGTTTTCATTCTTTTCCTTGCTGTTCTAATCGCTCTCATAGCTTTTATCACCAAAATTGCTCTCTTCTGCTAAATTCTCATTCATTTCACCGAACAATTAAAGTCAAATTCTCATTCTGTCAAATACACTCTATAATTGATCATTTGATTGTCGAACGTTGTTGAGCAATAGTATTCGATTGTTGTATTGTTGACTTCGGTTGTCAACACTCGTCAACGTATTCAGTAAACAGTATATGCTATAGAATAAGAAATTGTTTCGAACTGTGAAGTGGTATGAGACGAAGTGAATGAGAAAAAGTTATCAATAGAACGGTATTTGCATGTGATAGCTATGAGAGTGAATACAACACGTCTGAAAAGAATGAGAATTCATCTAAATCAGTCCGTTTCAACTGAGCGTGTCATAGACAATAGCTTTTCATGCAACCACAATTGATCGCAATAATGAGGAAGACAACTGTCTAATAGAAGGCCTAGCCGTGTCGAATAACATCATGGTGTTCTTGCATTCGGGGAGGGGAGGAGTGGGGGGGGGGACTGGTGTAACGGCGACCTGCCAGATAATCAAAAGGGATAATGCAGCTACTGGTCCAGAGTGATTTCTGTGCTATATAGTGAATGGATTCATTTCAGTGTTATAAGTTCGATTAATTATCACTTACCGAGGCATTCCTCTTTGAGTAATATATATGGAGCGTTTTGAATACTACCTGAGGTTTTTCGTCCATGTCATCATACCCAACACCTCCATGGCCAAGAACGGCTAAGACCATCAGCTCAACAGCGATTCTCAAGCGCATCTCTGAACAATAGATCATGTCAATGACCACATAACAGAACGGGTTCTTGCCTTCTATAAACTTAAACGCATGTTTATGATTGGGTCTGAACTTGATTCTTCTTCGAGCGAATGAGATTGGAATCAGTGTTAGCACACAAGATCCCAGAATCCCCACTGTTCAATTCATATCCCAGGATTTTTATTCCGGGAATTCCGTGGATTGCGGAACTTGATAAAAATAGGGCATTATATATTTTGATGCTACAGTCGTATTGAATTACTCATTACTCTCCAGTTCATTCATGTTCAGTGATATATATCTATTGTTCATCACCCAACGACGAACAAATGGAGAAATAATTGCAAATAATTCCATCTCAGGTTCATCTTTTAGGAATCAGTGACAAAAAGTTTCGTAATGTCATCGCTCCTGGGTCCTATTTCGCAGCTCTATCTTCCATTCATAATCGGGATTGAAAAATGACTCTCGGATTTAGTTCCGATCCTAGGAGTTGGGGATTCCACAAATATTAGCTGAGACGCAACCGTATGCAATACTGCACTCTTGAGAGGTTTACAGACTTTCCCAGCAACTGCCGAGCGCTTGTTAAAATTTAACGATCCTTTCCTGAAGAGAACTTCCAAGCAATGACTCTTCGAAGCATCGTGACTGAGCACCTTCGAGAATCAACATCTTGAATCACCAGATAACTATGACCCACAACACGCTATCACCAACATCCCACACCTCTTGAATATCCCAATACTAACCTAAAACCAACCGCACACCAGTACGATCAGTCCCACAACTATTTATCGTCGAAAACATTGCCTTATATAGCCTCACCGAAAACAGAATCATCATATAATTTTCATACAAGATATATGACTTTGAAAAATCATGCATAAGCACTGATATTATGCATAAACACTTCAGTGACACATTATGTGTTATGCTACTGCATTTGCATATTCCAAATGATTATATTTATCATAGACTAAGCAAATCATTCACCAGCCAAAAAGTACCACGATCTAAACCATACATAATCCTGAATATAAACACGAACCACAGTTGGCGTTTTGAGTTAAAATCAAGCCCTATTTACTCTCACAATCAGATAATTTTTACAGATCTGCAATCACTGCCTTTCGTTGCTAAAATATTTGCGTTCGAATTTATTTCTCGCATGGGATTACACCAGCATATCAAAAGCGTTGTATAACGGGCCAATTGATCAAGCCCTATTTACTCTCACAATCAGATAATTTTTACAGATCTGCAATCACTGCCTTTCGTTGCTAAAATATTTGCGTTCGAATTTATTTCTAGCATGGGATTACACCAGCATATCAAAAGCGTTGTATAACGGGCCAATTGGCCTGCTGGGGTCACTAACTGTGAAGTCGTTTTCGGTGTCAATTATTGCTTCATTTCATGCAGTGTTTAATCAACAAAATGCGCAGGCGGCATAACTGAATGCCATAGCAGTGTGATACAAGTTTAGAAATTTCTCCCTTGAGTCAGTTATAAACAATTTCCGTCAATAACACCAACACTTTTCATGCATAACAAAGCCGGCAGCTCAACTTTCAGGTGGTGGCAATTCAGCGCTGTCGTATAGTTTGAAGGGTAATCTTCGTGGAAAGCATATGATCGACCAGATAAAATCATTCGACTGAGAGGTCATTAATATGATTTGATGTACTCGTTTGAATGTGTTTCAAGAATAGGCATTTTGAGATAAGCATTCAGGTGAAGTAAATTCTATTCCAGGCGAACGTTAAAACATCTGACTATGCCGTTGGTATTTGTTGACTATCCAATCACTCAAAAGTGAATATTCGAAAAGAATTAATTCTCAGCAACTCAACAATCTTTGTTCGTGCCTCGATAAGCGTCCTTCTTTTGACGTGAATATCAGGCTGTGATGCAACGGTGATGATATTGACACACCATTCAATTCTTGCATAAAAACATAAGTACATAATCTCTTGTGATAAAAATATGAGCAGTCATAGCAGTCTTGTTGAATACTCCTTAAAACAGACCTATTCACATGCAGTGATGGCAATAATATAGCAACAATAATAATAATAGCCATAACAACAATTATAATAAATAACAATTGATAATAACTTATAATAATTAAGGATAATAAATAATAATAATAATAACAGTAATATTGTTAAAGGTCTGCATGTGCTCAGTATTATCTGAACAGGTGATTTGGTCTTTATTGCTGTGCATTATCTTCTTGGACATTAGATAAATAAGAGAATCGGAGCATTCTTCATTCGAGAGATGATTTATTTTAAGCAAAAATGCGGAGAGCATTCTCGATAGTTTCCGTTCAGATCCCTTCACTTCAGTGAGTGTCGTTTTTATTGTTGACGATTAAATGAAACTAATACATAATGCTAATATATGTTCTGGCAGTAATAAGAGCATTATTATCATCATTTCATTGATAATATTATTATCATTATCAAGAGTGAATGTGCCTTATCAGCAATTAATGTCGTCGTGTAGAGATAGCGATAAACATCTATGTGCTTGATGTTGATGTTGAATGATAACAGCGACAGTGGTAGTCGTCGCTGCTCATTAATACGGTCGATCGACATCATCTACTGATGGTAATGAAACGTTTCATTGCTTATCACTTCATTTCAACTCTCTTCAAATAGTCTCGTTCACCATTATTCAGCACTAACTTCAAATATCTTTTTCAGCTCTTTCACTTTCCGATATCTTAATCTCTCTCGAAATCCACTCAACATCATTGTTCAATACTCATTGTTGGGTGAAATTCAGGCGTTATTCATGCTAAGATTCGTCATTTTGGCGATCGCTTTTTGTAGACGATTTTGAAAAAAAAAAGCAAATGATTCTAATTAAATTTATCAGACTAGTTGTTATTGGTTTTTTAATTCTCCGCAATAGTGCATTGCGAAATTTTGAGGACCCCGTCCCTGATTTTTTCCAGCTAACCGCCCACATTTTCAGGGTCTGCGACTAAAAAATTTCGTCACCGACTTTTTCATTCTCCACACCATATTGATCCACAACTTCTTTGTATCTGTATTAAATCGGTTGTGGGCTAATTATGAGATATGTTAGATGGGGCAAGGTTTTGGGGTTAGATGCAACTGCGGGTTTGGAACTTAAATTTTTTCGGAAGAGGGGGGGGGNGGGGGGGGGACAGCAGGACGGAATGAATACATTGAGTATGGTATTTGAATTATTTCAGCAAATGACACCACAGCAATCGCGTGATAAACGACGTTTCTACGTGAAAAAAATAGCGATCGGTCTGGATCGTTTCAAAGAATGGGAAGAGCAACTCGGCGATCAATGGTATAGACATCATAACGTCAGTTGGTTCGCTTCATACTTCGCATTCGCTCTTCATCTCGAGACTAGTCTGTTGTGCTACTGATAAGGATGGCTCTAACTGATAATAAGTGATCTAGAGTACTGATAAATGCAATTATTCATAAAATCAATATCTGAAAGTGATGATCATTCTAAATAGATTCGTTTTCCTCTTGAAATTTTTCTCGAATGCATGTATCTTCTCAAATGAACCATTTGTGATTAATTTAATGCATCGGTTTGACTATAAATAGATGTACAATTTCTAATTGTAACTGGGAAAGACCAATCAAAATCTGACAATTCTAACTGAAGTCTATTCTAAGCACTATGATTTGTAATCATCATTCAGCTGAAAAAAAAATTCCAGAAAGTCAACAACATTGTCTACTATCACTGTAAGCATGAACCATGCTATGCGTCTATGAAAGCAAAAATCTTGATTGATTTCGTACAGGTAACTGTGCAATTGTCATTTGTTCCAAGCAATCACTATCAGTTCAATATCTTTTCTCATTTTGAACCTTCATTTAAGAATTTGAATTGATGAAATTAGTTGGAGAATATGAAATGGGATACTGAAAATAGATTGTTGCTTCATTAAAGAGCGTTGAACAGTTCCATAATTTGCACTACTGAAAATATGTTGTGATCACGACCTCATCTCAACTGCTTTCAGTTGTATGTAACCGAAGAAGGTCATGCACATCCGCCATTCACCAACAGCGTCACTAATTTGGGTGATTGGGCATTGCCATCGTCCTCATCTGAATTTGTGGTATGAATCATCCAATCGTTCTATTGCCCATAACTAACAACATTTGTAACTGTATTGTTGAAATTTTCAATAAGTTAGCACAATTCAATAAACATTCAAAAGATTGCACCAATTACTTTTGTCGATAACTTTATTACAATCACTGAAAGTTTTTCATCTTTTTTTNTGTCAGCAATGTGTGATGAGCAGCATTTCATGATGAATGTGATTTAAGAGTATCGACTGCAAACCTCAAATTAATTCAGTCTTATCGAAAGGTTGCGGTACATCACAATCATCTAAACGTCAGGTTGGTAATCAGCGATTGCCTTTGCCTTGTTACAACCCCACATCATCGTCGTTTAAGTCCTTTAGAATTAATTTTTGTACGTTTCAATTAACAATTCAAATAACACTGATTGTAATTATTATTGGTATTACAGTATTGTATTATAAAATTGAAGTGTGAGTGAAGAATCAGTGAAAAATCATTCATTCCGTCGTAATTGTCTGTATCGTAAAGGTAGCATTAGCCTATCAATCTCATTCCAATAAATAAAGAAATTGAATTGAAATTCACTTTTCAGAGAACTGCTGACGAAGACTATTCATCGAAAAAGATTCCACTTCTTTGTCAACAACAACTTTTGCAGCTTTTCAGTATGCAAGGCGATCCCATCCATGAGACAATGATGACTGAGGTGCATTCTTATCATACATAACATTCGTTTCAAAAAACTTTTTCTGCTTTCCAATGACCAAATGCATAAAATTCGCAGTCGAATTGTTTGTATATGAGCGGAGATTCATTTCTGATTCATAAAAATGTCCATTTTT